TTCCGATGGTGAAAACCACGTGGTCAGCAGGCTCCGCCTCCCCAGAGGACCCCAGGCGGCCGGACAGTGGAGGCAGCAGCAGGGTCCCTGAGAACCGTCTCAGGATCACACCCCCACCTAGGGGGCTGACAGGGGCTGCTCCAGGATCCACTGGCTCCCGGACTCTCTGAGGAGACAACAGGAAGTCATGAGCAAGCACTCTGTGCACACGTGTCACCAGGAAACCCTGAGCTTCAGTTTCTTACCAGCCTGGCTTCCCTATGGTCGGGGCAGCAGTTCACGTGTGTGGGACGGGAGTGTGTGTGGGTGTTATGGCTTTGTTGCATTTTTAAAAATCAATTTATTTTTGTGGGAGCATATATATGCTACAGTCAGAGGTCACAGGAGCAGAGGTCAGAGGACAACTATCCTTCCAGTCGGTACCCCACCCCCACCCACTCTACTAAATTCGTCAGATTGGCACTTGCTGAGCCATCTCGTCAACCCCACATTTTTTTTGTTTTGTTTTGTTTTGTTTTGTTTTTCGAGACAGGGTTTCTCTGTGTAGCCCTGGCTGTCCTGGAACTCACTCTGTAGACCAGGCTGGCCTCGAACTCAGAAATCCACCTGCCTCTGCCTCCCAAGTGCTGGGATTAAAGGCGTGCGCCACCACTGCCCGGCAACCCCACATTTTTTATTTTATCTTTTTTTTTTTCAATCCTTTCCCCCATCGCCTCCCCTTCTTCTCCGAGCTGGTGGAGGCCCCCTGGGTATCACCACACCCTGACACATCAAGGCTTTTTTTTTTCATAGTTTGTGGTTCTAGGTCTACAATTTGTTCCTTACTCATGCTCACTAGGTGTTGAGATTTGAACACAGGGCCCTGGGAGCCAGGAGCCACACTCCAGCCTCCTCTGGGCTGGGGACTGGAAGGGAATCCGGGAGCTGTCCAGTGCTGACCGCCGCGAGCTTCACCTTCTGGGCTGAATGCGGTTGGGGGAGGGGGGAGCAGAAGGCGGCTCAGCTTTCCTGAACTTCGTAAAGGTCTATCTCCAGCATCAGAAGAGTAAGCAGGGATACTGAGGCCCGAGACCAGAGCATATCCATAGGTGGAAAGGGGCGAGACCAGATAACAGCTAAGCCTGAGAAGCTCTGCTCTAGGTCCTGGTCTGATTCCTATGACTGCCTTTAGTCTCAGCCCAGAACCTGGGGGCGGGGTCAGAGGAAAGTCTGCAGCGAGGCCACAGGAAACCCTGGGACTTGGCTAACGGGAGGGGGCATAGAAAAGCGAGGGGTGGAGGTGGGAGTTGGGGGGAGGGGAGTAGGGGTGGGCTGGGGCGGGCTCAGGGGAGGGCCTGGAGCAGGACTCACTTTCAGTATTTTATTCTGGGAATATTATTTTATTTCTTTGTTTTTGTTTTTCAGACAAGGTTTCTCTGTGTAGCCCTGGCTTTCCTGGAACTCACTCTGTAGACCAGGCTGGCTTCAGATTTGTAAGACATCTGCCTGCCTCTGCCTCCCGAGTGCTGGTAGGGATTCACCACCACCACTCAGCTTTATTTTAAGACTGTTTTAGGTTAGAAAATATGGGCCAGGGCTGGAGAGATGGCTCAGCGGTTAAGAGCACTGACTGCTCTTCCAGAGGTCCTGAGTTCAAATCCCAGCAACCACATGGTGGCTCACAACCATCCGTAATGAGATTGGATGCCCTCTTCTGGTGTGTCTGAAGACAGCTACAGTGTACTCATCAATAAAATAAATAAATATTTAAAAAAAAAAAATATGGGCCTGTGAGATCACTTAGCAGAGGAAGGAGCAGACTGCCGTCAATCCTAGTGTCTCGAGTTCATTGCCCGTTATTCTTATGATAGGGGCAAACGGATTCCTGCACGCTGTTGTCTGGCACGTGCACTGATGCACAGACACTAAAGTACACAGGTAAAATATAATTTAAACATTAAATTAGAAGGTAGGAAAGGTCTATAGAGATGTCTCAGTGGGTAAATGTGTTTGATACTGAGCCTAATGACCTGACTTCCATCCCTAGGTCCCACACAGTAAAAGGAGAGAGCAGAGTCCCACAAATTGTCCTCTGACCCCACAGCCCACACCAAGGCACCTCACCACCTCCACGTGATAACTAAATAAATGCAATCTTTTAAAAAGGGCTGGGCGTGACAACGTAAGACCAATCTCAGTGATTCCAAAGCAGGTGGAAGGTGGTGAGTTTGAGGCAAGCCTGATCTACCCAGCAAGTTCCAGGCTAGGCAGGGCTACATAATGAGAGTCTATCTCAAAAGTAAATAGGTCATTTAACTAACTTCAAAGGCTGTTTTCCCAGCAGCTGCCCAGCCTGTCAGCCTAGCTGGGGCTGCCAGTTCCACAGAAAGCCTTGTGCTCCCCCACCTCCTTCTAGCTCTTTCTCAGACACTGGCCAGAGCCTGGGCATGCGCCCCAAGCATCTCACACCTGTTCACCCTCCTTGCCTAACACAAAGCCCAAGGCTCCGTCCCCAGCAGCACGCAAACAGGCAAGAGCCCTCGGCTTTGGGTTCCAGAACACAGGAGGTGGGGTGGAGGCACAGGGATTAGAAGGTTAGGGTCATATTTGGTTGCATTGAAAGTTTGAGACTAGCCTGGGCTACATGAGACCCTGTCACACTGAAAAATAATCTCTGTCTGTCTGTCTGTCTCTCTCTCTCTCTCTCTCTTTCTCTCTCTGTCACACAACACACACACACACACACACACACAGAGAGAGAGAGAGAGAGAGAGAGAGAGAGAGAGAGAGAGAGAGAAGAGAAGAGAAGAGACCATTAATCTAAAACAAATGAAGGTAGAAAGGTCTGGAGAGATGGCTCAGTGGTTACAGCAATGGCAGCTGGAGACCAGGGTTCTGTTCCCAGCACCAATATCACAATTATCTGTAACTCCAGTTTCAGGGCATCTATTGGCCTCTTCTGGCCTGAGAGGGCCCTGAACCCATGTGGTACACAGACAAACCATTTGGGCAGGATCCCAAAACACAAAATAATAAAAATATGTTTAGGGCTGGAAAGATGGCTCAGCCGCTAATAACACTGCTCTTTCAGAGGTTCTGAGTTCAATTTTCAGCAACCACATGGTGGCTCACAACCATCTGTACTGGGATTCAATATCTTCTTCTGGTGTGTCTGAAGACAGCTACAGTGTACTCATATAAAATAAATAAATACATAAATCTTTAAAATTACTTTTTAAATGAATGAAAACTATCTTGCATTCGGGCACTGGGCTCCAGGAGCCTCGGTGCCCCTCAGTTTACCCCATGCACTCCTGTTGGGCATCTCTGGCCTTTTCAGAGCAGGGACCTCAGGCCCCGGCTCCTGCAGTGAGCCCAGTCCCAGGCTACTCACCTCAGTCAACAGGAAGGACAGGGCCGTGCCACTCCGCCTCATGGTGCAGGCTTCTGTGATGACAGAGGGATCAGTGAGACCAGGTCCCAGCCAGTTGCTGGACACACCCCAGCCCCAGAGCCTAGAGTCATATCAGCAGGGCAGCGAAGTCAGATGCCTGGAGAGGTTGCTGCAGGTACCCAGACCCCATCCTAGCTCCTTACCCTGGCCAGCCCTAGGGACTAGAACCCTGGGTCCAGGTCACCTGGGAGAGCCATTTAACTCCCAGAGGGACTCTGGTGCTTTGTGGCATTTCTGAGACCCCAGTTCCCCAGAAGTAGGACCTTCCAATGAGGTACTCACTTCAAGTTGGTCTGTGTTGTAAGTGTGCGCTGTGACCTCCCCGGGTCCTGTCCCACTCCTAGCTGAGCCCTTTAACTGAGCACCAGATAGAACCTGGGCCAGAAGGTACCCACAGGATTGGGGGAGGGGCAAGGGCAGGGTGATCACAAGGACAAGAAGGGGTGTGTGTCCAACTGTGTGACCAAAACAGGGCCGACTGGGAGGGAGGGGACGGGTGAGTGGCCAGGCAGAAGGTTTAATTGTTAATGTGTTTAACCTGACAGAGGACAGAAATAGCCTGAGACTGAGGCGTCACCTTAGTGTTTTGGGGTACCAATCAAGGCACCTCAAGGCTTTAGGAAAGCTATTCCACTATGCTGTGCTGCTCCAGGCAGTTGATGACCTTCTCTGGTCAAACCTTACCCATAAGCTAGAGCTGCAGTCAGAAGTGGGAAAGCCAGGGAGCTGGGACTGGAAGACAGAATGTGGTTTGGGCCAAGGGGCTCTCGAGGGCACTCCAGTCTGTGGCTGTGAAGCAAGTTAATGTTTCACCCTACAATCCCCACCCTGCAGACTGGCCAGGAAACCGCTCAGCACCCACTCCAATGGTAATCAGAGCGTGACCTGCTGTGGGGGTGGAGGTCAGTTCAATCTGCTGTCAAACATCACAGCAGCTAAGGAGACCCCCCCACCGGCACTGAGGAGTGGGTCATCTCATCCTCTGCTGGAAACACCAGTAGCATTTTGGAAAAGCCGGCTGTCTGGAGGGTCCCCAGCCTGGAGCCTGAGCCACTGAGGGAAGGGCGGAGAGCAGGGTGTGTAGAGAGGTGCTGAGGCGCCTTCCTCCCCGTGACCGCAGGCCACTTGGTCCCTCCTGCCCCAAGGTTTTGAAGCTTGCTGGAGACTCAGCTCCTTTTAGCAGTCAGAAGCCCTTCCTCCCTTCATAACCAGTTAGGCCTCGATGTCTTCAATGGGAAATGAGCCCAAGCCTCTCCCACCACAGGGCCTTTGCTAGCACTGGGTGGGCTTCTTAAGTGACGTGGGCTTGTGGCTTTCCCCAGGCTGCCTCCCATTAGGGTAGGTCATCCAGTTCCTTAGAGAGTGGCCTCTGTCCTGCCAGGACACTAGGTGACACAAGTCCTGGGGGGGTGAAGATGGCGGTCCTGCCCTCTGACCCTGAAATGACATTCTCTGAATGTCATCCCTCCTGAAAGCAGACACAGGGTCCACAGTGTGGCTCGGGCTTAAGGCACAGAGGTACTCAACGTTCGACTCAGGAAGCAGCTATGAATCATAAGGACTTTAGTTACTTTATGTTCATTTAGTTTATTTTTTAATGTGTTTTGTCTGCGTGTGTGTCTGTGTGTCACCTGTGAGCCTGGTGACTGCAGCGGTCAAGAGGCCACCAGCTCCCCTGGGACTGGAGTTACTGGCGGTTGTGAGCTTCCATGTGGGTGCTGGAAACAAAGCTCTGGTCCCCTGAAAAGCAGCCAGTGCTTTAACCTTTGAACCATCTCCTCAGCAATACACACACACACCAATTAAAAAAAAAAAAATAGAGTCTCTTGTAACCCAGGCTATCCCCTATGTAGCTCAGGGTGGACTTGAACACATGATCCTCCTGTCTCTACCTCCCAAGTGCAGGGATGACAGGTGTGGACACCTGGGTTGATTTAATTTCTGAGTTGGATACTAGATGTGTGGGCCAGACTGGCCTGAAACTCCTGGGCCCCAGCAGTCCTCCTTGTCACTGATTCCCAGGTCAGAGCAGTCCTCCTTGCTGCTGATCCCCAGGTCAGGATAGCGGGGCAAGGGGTTCCAGACACTGTTCTTCCCAGGTGTCACCTCCACCATATCTCTAGGCCTCTCAGAGTCACGACTGTAGTCGGTCAGCGAATGGCAGCCTCTGGCTCACACTGCCCTAGAAGAGGAACACACATGGATTAGCATTAAGCACCACAGGGTTCTTCTGCAGAGGGATGTCTACTGAGAAGTCCGCAGCACCAACCCTGCCTGTACCCATCTCACCATGGACACTGTATCCATATTATGAAAAGCTGGCGCGTCCAGATAACAATGTCTCACAGCGATGAACACACAGCCAATGAGTAAGACAGACACGAGCAGACACACAGCAATCACCACACCGGGGTTCCTGTGTGATGTGGAGATCCAGATGCTGCCTGCATCTGGGAAGAGGAAGGGGTCAGCCTTGGCCACAGCTATGCCCCAGCCCCTCACTGGGGGATTCTAGACAGGAGCTCCACACACCCCCAGCCCCTCACTGGGAGATTCTAGACAAGAGCTCCACCCCTGAGCCACGCCCCCTGCCCCTCTCTGGGGGATTCTAGACAGGGGCTCCACCCTTGAGACACTCCAGGGCCTATGTTGTTTATAAACAAGTATATAATTTCATGCGGATTTTTCATTCTCTCTCTTTCCTTCTTTTCTTCCTTCCTTTTTCTCTTCTTCTATTCTTGCCCTCCTCCTCTTCTTTCCCTCCTCTTCCTACCCTCTTCTTCCTCTTCTTACCTTCCTCCTCCTGTTCCCCCTCTTCTTTTTAATTTTTCCAGACAGGGTTTCTGGCCCTGGCTGTCCTGGAACTCACAGAGATTCGCCTGCCTCTGCCTGAGTGCCAAACCACCATCACCCTGCTTGTTTTTTTTTTGTGTGTGTGTGTGTGGTTTGTTTGTTTTTTGTTTGTTTGTTTGTTTTTTTGTTTTTTTTTTTTTGTTTTTTGAGACAGGGTTTCTCTGTGTAGCCCTGGCTGTCCTGGAACTCAACTCTGTAGACCAGGCTGGCCTCGAACTCAGAAATCCACCTGCCTCTGCCTCCCAAGTGCTGGGTTTAAAGGCGTCCGCCACCACTGTCTTGCCTTGGTTTTCTTTTTTTTTTTTTTTTTTTTTTTTTTTTAAAATATTTATTTTTTTTTTTTATTGATGAGTACACTGTAGCTGTCTTCAGACACACCAGAAGAGGGCATCCAATCTCATTACGGATGGTTGTGAGCCACCATGTGGTTGCTGGGATTTGAACTCAGGACCTCTGGAAGAGCAGTCAGTGCTCTTAACCGCTGAGCCATCTCTCCAGCCCCTGGTTTTCTTTTAAAAGACAGGAACCCACCATGTGGCCTGGGCTGCTCTCAAACTTGAGGCCATCCTCCTACCTCCTCCTCACAGTGTTAGGAACACAGCACTGGGCCACCACACACAGCGACAACTAGATAATGGAACCTTTTCTTGCACATGACTGTATCCTTAGGAGCCAACACACACAGCAGTTGGGCTTTAGATAGCTTGTGGCTCAGGCCGGCCCGCACACTTCCCGGTCTGTGTCGCCCCCTGCTGACTGGTTCCAGAACTACTGTCAAGTTTCAGCCAACTATCCCCAATCTTTACACTCACCCTGGCCTGGGCTGGACGCAGTGGGTGACCCTTGTGGAGCCAAGTTCGTGGACTGGGATGCGGTGGTCGGCTCGGAACTGGGGAACCCAGAGCTGGGGAGAGAGGCTGTCTCTGGCTCTGGGGAGGCTGAGCCTGTGTTCGGAGCTGTGGCGTGTGGAGTGGTTTCCAGAATTGTGGGGGTAGACTCTGAACTTAGGGAGGTGGACTCAGGGGTTGTCTGTGGACTTGAGAAGGTAGGGTCAAGGGTTGTCCATGGACTTGAAGAGTTGTCGTCTGTGATTATGCTCTCCCAGAATAGTGTAAAAACAACACCTAGAGAAAAAAAAAAAAAACAAATTGTGGATGTGTGTCTATGAAGCTTACGAATGGGCAGCCTAGGGTGGAACGGTGCTCGAGATTCAATCTCAGCTCCTGGGCAGCATGCCAAGGCCTCACATTCGTTTCATTGGCTGAACATGAGCGCGAGCGCTCTGAGCTCAACTTGCAAGTGTCCTGCCTGGCCTGCCTGACGCGACCCTGCCTGACTCCACAGAGCTGGGCTCTGGAGCGTCACCTCTTACAACTCAATCACTGACTTCCGCTTTACAGAAGGGGAAACAGTCGCAGAAAGTTGAAGCATTACTCAACTCTGTCCCTCGGGTGCAGGCACCACCTCCCAACCCAGAACTTTCTAGAACCCTGAGAACTGTCAAGTCCTGACCTAAACTAGGACTTGAACTCTGCCCCAAATGCTGGCCACACCCTCTATCACTGAGCCACGCCCCACCTTTGCCAACACCAGGATTCAGCTCTCTGACACACACCATCCCTCCGGCTGTGCCTCCCCTCCCACCCCCCCCCCCCCCCCCCCCCGGGGAAGTTCAGAGGCTGTGGAAATGGTTCCTGCTCTCTCTCCTACCATGACTTCCTTCCAGATCCAGGTGGCTCCACCCAGGTATGCAGGGCACAAGCCGCATCAGCTGCTCTGCCCCGCCCATGCCTCAGCCCACACAGCAGTTATGAGGAAATAACATTTAGGTGCTGTAAGGGGGCGCTGAGCGGACCCCTCCCACACCCCAGTCTCCCAGGCCCGGTGGCAAAGGAAACGAAGGATGCCGAGTCTACACGATGAGAAATTCCTGAGGAAGTGAAGTCAACTCGGATGCCATAGTGGACCCCAAGCCAAACCAGGACTTTATTAACCAGGAGCTAATGAAGGCTTTAAGTGATGAAAGAGTCTCCAGTCCTACTAAGTACCTAGCACCAAATAGGGTCTCATGATTTTCTGGAAAGTTAAATAGAGAGTAAAGCCTGACTCACGCCTTGCTCACTGGAGGCAGAGGCAGGCTAATCTCTGAGTTTTAAGGCCAGCCTGATCTACAGAGCGAATTCCAGGACAGCCAGAGCTACACAGAGAAACCCAGTCTCAAAAAACACCAAAAAGAAAGAAAGAAAGATAGATAGATAGATAGAAAGGGAGGGAGGGAGGAAGGAAGGAAGAAAGGAAGGAAGGAAGGAAGAAAGAAAGAAAGAAAGAGAAAGAAAGAAAGAAAGAAAGAAAGAAAGAAAGAAAGAAAGAAAGAAAGAAAGAAAGAAAGAGGCATTTCGGCAGTGTGCCTGGGACTGGTCTTTCCCTCAGTGTCCGAGATGGAAGCTTCAGTGACGAGCTGTGTCATTGTCCCTAATAGGGTCGTCCACAGGCTGGAGCCTGGGCTTCCAAGGATAACTGTGGGACTTTGGGAATAAAACCGCCATCTATAATAAATTCAGCTGTCTAAAGAAGTAGCTGGAAGGAATTAAGTCCGGCACCACGAACTCCTAAAGGAAACAGGGGTAGTGAATGAACAGGAAGTGAGCCCCGATCCCTGGCTCTTCGCACGACTGAGGGAGTGTGTAGGTCCTCACCACTTTCCGGATGGGGCAAGATGGTGCTAGAAACCCCTGAAGTGTCCCGGAAGCCACTGGCTTCTGCCTCAGCTAGGTGACCCTAAAGGGTTGCTACCAACCCTACTGTGTCTGGGAGGGAAGGGGAGAGAAGGGTTTGAAGCCCTGTGTCCCGGCCCCGCTGTCCTCCGGAGCCATTCCCTTTCCCTCCACCAGCCTACCTGTGCATGCAAGGGTGACCGAGGAGTCGCTGGGTCTGGCGAGCAGCAGCAGAGCCAGCGCCAGGGGCAGTAGCCGGGAGCCCGCCATTCCCGCGGTCCGCCCAGGCTGCAGGTGCGCGCCCAGGTTGGCAGCGCCTCGCCCACGCGCGGCCCCTGCCGGCGGACCGCGGGAATGGCGGGCTGCGCCGGGTTCTGGGGTTCCCGTCCCGCGCTTCCTCCATAGCACCCCAGTGCCTCCTCAGCACGGGGCCGGACTGCACTCCTGACACTTCTAACATTGCCTCAGAACACTGGTGTCCCCTCTCCCCAGACACCCGGGGATACCCTTTCTATGGGTGCCCCAAACTTGACTTGAATACCCATGTCTCTCTGGCCGCCAGGGTCCTCTAAGTGCGTGTTGAGGATGTCCTCCTGTCTCTCCCTCTGGCTCACCTAGGTGGAGATGCCTTCTCAGGTAGGCCTAGCACCTCACAGCACCGTGGATGCAGCTAGAACCTTATAGCATTTCGAAAGGAAGTACTCCTGTGTACAAGTGGGCTGGTCCCTGCTGGGTAGGTTCTCACACTTCGTTGTTAATCTTTGTTTTTGAGATAAGCTCTCATCTGGGCGGTGGTGGCGCACACGTTTAGTCCCAGCACTTGGGAGGCAGAGGCAGGCGGATTTCTGAGTTCGAGGCTAGCCTGGTCTACAGAGTGAGTTCTAGGACAGCCAGGACTACACAGAGAAACCCTGTCTCGAAAAAACCATAGACAGAGAGAGAGAGAGAGAGAGAGAGAGAGAGAGACAGACAGACAGACAGACAGACAGACAGACAGACTGAGACTCACTGTGTAGACCAGGCTAACCAAAACTCCTGGTGATTTGATTCTCTTGCCTCATGCTGAGATGACAGGTATGTGCCTGTCACAGATTAACTCACATATATTTGGTGTGTGTGTGTGTGCTTGTATTGTGTGTTTATGTGCATGTGTCCCTGCATCATGTTGTGTGCACGTGTGTGTGTGTGTTCGTGTATTGTGGTGTGTGTGCATGTGTGTGTGTATTGTGGTGTGTGCGCGTGTGTGTATGTAATGTGGTGTGTGCACATGTGTGCGCACGCGTGTGCACGTGTGTGCGTGTGTGTTCAGGGAGGTCAGGCGAGTCAGCTGTCTGGATCATGTGAATGATCAAACACGATGATCAAACACGCAGGCTTAGTACCAAGCATCTTTACTGGGTCATCTCACTGGCCCCAGATGTGACATTTTAGAAGTCATTAGCCATGGGACACACAAGACTCCATGCTAGTGACCTGTGGCCCCTGGAAAATAATCAGGGTTTCCCAAACCTAGCTATAGATAACACATGGGCCAGAGACACTGGAACTCCTTGTTGCTGGCACAGTCCCTTTGTCCTTCCCTTAACTCAAGACACATGACCAGAGTCAGGCTGTAGCATGCTTTCTTTATTCACAAGACTCATGGGGCCACATGGCCATGATGATCTCTTGCCCACAGCCAGGGAAGGGCCTAGACGCCAGGCCAGTGCAAAGAGTAAGCCCTTGAGGTACGGCGTGAAGTGTCCCTGGAGATGCTCCACGGGCCTCTTGTTCCCAAGAGTGCATCCGTGGTGAGGCAGCTTCGAGTATAGTGGCCCCTCCACATGGCCTGAACCATCTTGGCTGCAGATTGCTGCTGGCTGAGCTGCCGGCGTGTCCTGTAGCCCTTCCAGGCCGCCTGGATGATGGTGCATGCTCTGTGTTGCTGGCTAAGAAGGGTGTTCTGCTGGGATGCTGAGGCCCATCGAGAGACAGACTGGCCTGAGATGCCCTGGCCATAGCCCTGCACCACTCGCATGGACAGTGTGTGGCCACACACGTGGCAAGTGCGTGGCTGGGACCCCACAAGCATCACAACGCTGGGCAGACTCTCTACCGGGGGACCCAGGGATTGGCAGACGCTGCAGACATCTGGCTGGCAGGATAGGAAGCAGCGGTGCTCAGAGCTGTTTCTGCTGTCCAAGTTTCCCTGGGTTCTGCCACTGTGCTCTGGCCACGCTGTAGGGAGCAGTACCTTGCAGGCCCGGGCTCGACGAATGCAGTAGCCTCGCCAGGCAGCCTGGATGACAGTGGTGGCCCTGAACAGCCTTTCCAGATTCCGCCGTACACGGTAACCACGCCACATAGCTTGGATGACGGTGGCCCACTGATGCCACACTTTCACAGTGCGGCGAACCAGGTAGCCACGAGCGCACGCTTGGATGGTGACAACGGCCTGGACGACAACTTTCTCCATGGCCTGTACTGACATCAGCAGCTCAGCTGACGGCTTGCGGTCCAGCGCTGCCTCTGCACCAGAGGGGTCCCATGGCTTGTGGCCCCTGCTGGGATGCCACATCCCTTGGGCTGCCCCAGCATGTGCTGTGGTTCTGACCGATACGTTGGGGACTTTGGAATTCCATGACTGGCCAGCAGCCAGGCCGGCATCCACGGGGCCCTGGGGTACAGTGGAGGGTGGGGATATCGTATTATGGCCAGTTTTAAGGTGTGTAAGAAGATGGGGTCTGTGGCTGTGGGGTGGGGTTCTGGGGCCCCGGGGCCCCCCATCGAGGCTGGCTTCCTGCACAGTGATATGTTGAAGTCTGTGGCCATACAGCATGGTGGAGACTTTTCGAGAGCCCTCATTAAAACTAGTTTTAGGGGCTGTGACCTGTTGATGCTTTTGGCTGGGAGAAGCAGTGGGGATTTGTGAGACCCTTTCATAGCCAGGGACAGGGCGGTTGATATGCTCAGCACTTTGGTCATGGGGCGTGGTTGGGACCAGGGAACCCCTGTCATAGCTAACTCTGGGGCCTGTGACAGGAAGGGGCCTCTGGTCAAGGTGTGTAGTGAGGCTTAGCATTGTTCTTGGATGGCTAGTCTGTCTGGTGTCCTGGGCAGCCTCATAAAGGAGGGGTCTCTGGGAACCATTTGATGATGGCTCATGGACCAGAGACACCCTCCTACCTCCTGAGGACGCCTTCTGTCTCCTCTCATCCCCCACGTGGAGGATGGGTGTGACGCCCACCGTGGATGTCCCTGGAGGCTCCTTTTGACTGTCCAGTGAGACCTGAGGTACTGGCTTGGGTAGATGACTAAAGGGGAAGAATTTGTTCATGGAACCTTCTAGAAGTTCTGAGACATAGCTGCCTTGACTGGATTGGTAGGACTTTTTAGCAGGGTCTCCAATCTGGAAGGCACTAGACAACCCAGTTTTAGGTTGAGGTGCTGAGTCTGTCCCCTCTGAGCTTTGGACAGCCCCAGGGTTTCCAGGCTTGGCCTCCTCCGACCCTAGAGGCAGCTCAGCTGTCCCAGCTCTGCCTTTACTCAGCTTCAGTGTCACTGAGACATTAGAAGCCAGAGGTTGACTCGAATTGTCCACAGGGGCCTCCAGCAAGCTCAGGACCCTGGGAGCAGGATGGAGGCTGGGGGGACCACTGTTGCTTTCTGAGGTTAAGGGCTGAACGGTGATGCTACTGGCTGTGGGGTGCTTACCTAACCCTGAGGCCTGTCTAGGGACAGGGGTCACACTGTTGGCTTGTCTGGTAGCCTCCTTGTTCAACAGGGCCTTTGAGAATATCTGGTCTTTGAGAACATTGTCAGCTGCCAAAGGCTTATGTCCATGACTCTCTCTTCCTGCGGTCCCAAGGCCTGTCTGTACTGCCCTCAGTTTTATCTCCGTGTCAGTGCTCTCAGGTTTGACAGTGTCTGTGCTAGGTGCCACTGTTGAGGACACCGTGGCAGCCATTTGTTCTGGCTTTGACAGAGTCTGGCCATCGACACCTACAAGCTTTGTCAGCCCAGGGTCTTGGCTAATCTCTAAGGCACTTGACAAGACTGTGGGCAAGTGTCGTGAGTCTTCAGCCAGTTTCTGTGCTGCTGGTGAGCGAGCATTGGCCAGGCTGGTGACAGAGGGTGCCAGGAAGGTGACCTGGGAGGCTTCCCTATACTGTGTTGGCTGAAAGGGACGTGGGCAAATCCCTACCAACATGGACCCCAGTGGGGCCATACTACTTGTCCTGCTGGCCACAAAACTTGGGCGCGGACTTGGACTATGGGAGCTTGGTGAGGGCCCTACAGCAGGGCCCAGCTTCTCCCTACCACCGTCAATCTTGGGAGGGTGATAAGGGGCCTCACTGATAGCCACAGGGCATGGAAGGAAGTTGAGGACCACACCACTGGGTCCAGCATCTCTGGGGGGGCTCTGTCCCTTACCACTAATCACTGGTTCTGTCAATACGTTGTGGGTCCTGACACCTACTGTGGACTTTGGGGGGACATTCTGGGTCACACCATCCACCACGGACTCTGGGGGGACTCTCTGTACCACACTTTTCACCACGGACTCTGGGGGGACATTCTGGGCCACACTCTCTGCCATGGATTCAGGGGGAACACTCTGCACCAAGCCATCCACCATGGACACCGGGGGACCTTTCTGGGCCACACCATCTGCCGTGGACTCAGGGGGGACACTCTTGCCTATACTGCTGATCATAGATCCTTGAGGATGGTTGGGAGTCTTGCTTTCAACCACAGGCTTGGGGGCCGATGTTGAAGTCACTTTTCCATCTACAGAACCCTGGGGAAAAGTCCCACCCACAGCATCTGCATCTGTGGTGATCATACCTACATATTGGTAACTGGGTGGGACCATAGTGGCCACAGAGAAGAGCTGTGGGTCTAACGTAATAGGGAGAGTGGCACAGGGCTGAGGGATGCTGGTCCCCAGCTGGTTTGGGAAGAGCTCAGATGGGAACTGCATCCTGGGCACTGCAGCTGGGCACGGGCTCTGGCCCACACCTGTGGCCATAGCAGCCTGATTTTGGGTCCAATGGACATCTGCTGGCGAGGCCCAGGGAGACATGGGGGGTGGATTGGCCCCTGGACACACACTTAGAAACAGTCCCGTAGTCAGAGGCCCCTGGGGCATCCCTGGGGCGATGCCCCTGAACAAAGCCTGGCATGGAACGCTGGCCCCTACAGCCAGGCCGTTGTCCTCTGCAGGAGGCCTGGAAGGCTGCCCAAGGCCGTGCATGGGCTGAGCCACAGGACTTGGGGGTCCCTTGCTGGCCTGGGTCGGGTCAGAGTGAACTGTGGAATCCTGAGGGCTGGCCCAGCTCCTGATACCTAACAGGTTTCCACCTGGGCTACTGCAGACTCCCAGAGATGGCTGGCCTGGTGGACTCGTCACACATGGCTGCGGCCCTCCTCGGTTGGGCATGGAGGGCTGGCTCTGAGGTATACCGCTGCCCCGCTGTGTGTGCAGCTGTGGGCTGAAACCTGGCTTGTTGACCCCACGACCCACACCACACACCACGGTGGGCGGCAACAGGCTCAGGGCTCCCAAGGTAGCCGCAGGTACATTGGAGAGATCAGGGTACATCCTGGGAGCTAGAAATGGGGAGTTCAGATTGGGGGACACCCTGTTGGACAGAGGCACCTTGAGTACTCCAGGGACCACAGTGCTGGCTGTGGTTGGCTGATTGTGGTTTGGAGGTCCCCTGTTGGCCACAGATACATGAGCCAGGGTTGGGGACCTAACGCTGACCAGGAAAGCCTGGGCTAGGCTTGGAGACATGCTGTGGGACATACATGGCTGCACATAGTTTGGGGTTACAACTGTGGCCATATAAGGTTGGGTGAAGTGTGAAGGCATGCTGTAGGATGGGAATGGCTGGAAAAAGCTGGGGAACACCCCGGTGGCTACAGATGTCTGGACTGAGTCTGGATGCCCTGCGCCCCGTGTGGGTATAGGGGGGGAGCCAGGTGGTGGCCAGTTCCTCAGAGGTGACTGAGTGGGCTTTGGGGCTCCGTGGGTCGCAGCAGATGGCTGGACCTGGCTTGCAGTTGCCTCAGTGCTCACTGACTGGTTGTTTAAGGTCACCACACCAGCCTCAGATGTCTGCGTAAAGTTTGAGGACACACTAGAGGCCATATGTTTCTGGGTATAGATTGGGGACCCTCCAGCATACATAAATGGTTGACTAAAATTTGTAGGTGACCCATAATATATCAGTGGCTCTGTCAGGCCCGGGAGCACCCCAGTGTCCATGGATGGCCGGGCTAAAGTTGGGGACACCCTAGTGGCCACAGATGGATGGGCCAGGCTTGGGGCCACCCCAGTGCCTATGGATGGTTGAGCCAGGCTTGGGGACACAGCACTGGACCCTGCAGGCTGAGGTGACCTTGAATTCAGTCCCCTGGCCTCTAACGGTTGGCTTAGGCGTTGAGATCCCTCACTGGTCTTGCGTGCCTGGCCAGGGCTTGGGGCTCCCCCGTGAGCCAATCTGTCCTTGGGTTGGACAGGATCCAGGCAAGTGACCCTAATTGGCTTCCAGTCCCTGGCCTGAATCTGACCCCTTTTGTGCCAGGGTACAGTTGTGTTCTGGGCCAGTCCCTCATTCAGGTCCCCAGTACTATAGTCAGACCCACTATCTGAGTCCCAGTGGATATTTGAGGCCAGGCTGGTGTGAGAGAGGAGGGAAGCACGTCCCAGAGGGGACCGCTGGAACTTGGGGGACGTGCGCTGAAGACCAGCTGGGCATGTTCTCTCCAGCTGCCCCTGGAGCCTGTACCTCGCATCTCTGATCTCCTTCAGTTTTGGCTGGGATTCCTGCATGTCAGCCTCCCTGCTACATTCCAGAATCTCTGAAGGTGGCAAGCTAGATGGTACGGAGGGGTTAGCCGAGGGGCTGCTCTGCAGGGAGCTCTCAGAGTTACAGCTGTCCTGGCAGCGGACCCTGGGATAGCTCTTGGCTAACACGATCTGTGGGTGCTGTGGGATCTTAGCCAGTAACTCATCCAGAAGGGACTCGTGGTGGCCAGTGGCCGGGTTCTGGGAGTGGGGTGAGGTCAAGGACACTTGGGGGTGCTTCTCCTGTTTGGGGGTGGACCTGCTGGAGACTTTTTGTGACTTAGGAGTTAGAAACATTGGAGACGTCTGATCACACTGTTCATCTGCGACATTCCTGACTATGGTGACCATGTCCTTACTGCCTGGTGCTGACAATACTCGTCTGTGACCCGACAGCAGAACCTGCCTACAAGTCTCCTTGGGCAGTGAGCTGTGAGTCTTGACTAGGGAAGAACAATGTCCGCAGGGAGACTTCTTGTGCATCCCCAGGGTTGGACACTGACACACACTGCCATGACAAGTGGTAGAGGGCCATGGGGACATGGGGGACTTCCCATCACCCATGCGACCTGAGTGCTTGCTGGCCACCATGCTGCCCTCTTGGTACGACGGCCCTGGATAGGGTACCCTGCTGGCCACAGACGGCTGGTGGGAGCTTGGGGATGTGTGATTATTGGTCACTGATGGCTGGTTACTGCTTGGGCCTACACCGTTGGCCACAAGTGGCTGCCATGGACCAGGAGGTGGTGGCTGGGAAGGTCGCTTGGGGACATGGGGACCCTCACCACATGCCATGGAATCAAGATCCAACGACCTCAGGTATACACCAGAATAAAGGACTGAACTTACCTCCCCGGACAGTGTGGGTATTTTGAGTAGGGGACAATGGTACGTGCTGGTGACCATCCCTCCGGAAAAGGAGCCTCTGGGGGACTGTGGAGAGCAGGGTGACCCTTCCAATGTGACCCCAACCCTTTTCTCCCACAGGATCCCATCAGGCTGTTCCCAGGGCAAGCCCTCCCACGGTGGCCTGACCTTGCTACACCGTGCTCCTACAGGACCCAGCGTAGGCCCCCATGCCACCGACAGACTCCCGCTGCAAGTCACTTCCATTGGGGCAGGCGCTGTGGTCATCCGACTCCCCACTGTTTTTGAAGTGGCCTTAGGGAGGAAGGCGCCTGTCCTCTGGGCCATCTGGGCCAAGGACTGAGTGAAGACAGCACCCAGCTCACCCTGGCACAGCGCCTGGCTGAGTGTGGCCCTCTCGTCTTCTGTCAAGGCTTTACACAGGACCTCGGCCAGCTTGCCCTGTGTGGCCTTGTTGAGTTCTGGACGCAGCTCACCACGGGACAGGGCCCGGGACAGGGAGATACCCAGTTCACCCCATGACAGCGCCTTCATCAGTGCCATTCCCAGCATGCCTTGAGGCAAAGCCTTGACCACAGACGGCCCCAGGACCTCCCGGGATAAGGCCTGGCTCAGTGCCGTCCTTACTTCACCCTGAGAAAGTGTCTTGACCAGGAGTGCCCGCAAGTCCTCAGGGGAGCCCAGCATGGCCACCAAGTCTGCACACAGAGACGCAATGGATGCAGCCAGGTCGTCGTGGCAGGACACAGATTGGTTGGGCAGAGGGGATGGAGGTGGGGTCCGTGCCCGTCCACTGTCCCCCCAGGATTCTGCATTGGACACAGGGTGTCCGCTGGGAGTCATCAGAGGTACCAGCATGCCTTGGCTATCTGTGGCCATTGAACGTGGGTTCTGCGTGGTCTTGTTTGGTGTGTGGCTATGGAGCTGGGTCTGAGCCACGCTCCTGTCATCTGGCTTGGCACGGGGTCCAGTACTAATTGTCCCCAAATGTTGCCACAACTGGACAGATGCCTTGGAAGTGCTCAGGAATGTCTGTGACTGGGTCTTGCTACTGAGGTCAGTGGTAGGGTGGGTAGCCAAGAGGCACTTGGCTGTTTCAGTGGCCAGCTGGGCCTGGGACGGAACCTTAGCCAGACACGTGATGATCTGGGCCAGGGATGGGGCTTTGTTGACCTTAGTGGATGGGCAGACCTGGCATGCCGCCTTGGTGGTCTTAGTGCTCGTGATCTTGGCGTGCTCAGATGGTGGACGCAGCTGAGATGAGCTTTTCGTCAGGAGAGAGGCCATGTGGTGCTGGGGAGCAGAGTGGGGTGAATATGTGTTTGGGCATACTTCAGGAGGGACTAAGGTGATCCCCGAGGAGTGTGCGTGCAGGGAGGCTGAGGCCGGGCATGATGTGGTCAGATGATCTCGAGACACAGATCTGGCCTGCTCACCAGCAGGCTGGAGCTGGGCTGTGAGCGACATTAGGTGTGCGGCCAGAGGCGAGGAGGACAGGGAGGCAGAGAGACCTACAGGTGGACGCCGTCCTTCAGGTATGCCTGGGGCGAGCCCAGAGGGCATGCAAGACTGAGACACAGCTTTACAGAAGGGTGAAGCCGGTGAAGTTCGGGCATGGTAAGGGCATGGCTGGGTTTGGGAGGAGGTCTTGGTCAGGGGGACAGCCAGCTGGGCCTGGGTCAGGGTCACTGTCATCTCTTCAGGCATGTACACCCTGGAGTGAGCCTTTACAATCTCCGCCCTCTCCTCCATCTGAGTCAGGGCCTTGTTCTGATCTTCCATCACTTTTGTCCAAGACAGAGCCCTGGTTGCAGTGGTGGTGTTAGTCTTAAGAGCTGCTTCCTTTTGGGCGGCCCTTGCGGGACAAGGCTTCATCTTTTCTACTTCCAATGGAGACTTGGCTGGAGGCTTAGGAACTATGATGTCTAGATTTCCCTGGGGCACGCACCTGCCCTTCCCCTCAGCCAAGTATGACTGAGAGGCCACCTTGATGATTGTGGTGGTATGCCTGGTGTTCACGGTGACCTTGGCCTTTGTGCTATTCAAGTGTACCTGGGAGAGAGTGTTGCCAGCAAGCACTGGACTTTGGGATGAACACTTGGGACTTGAGGCCACTGCCTCAGTTGTACCACCACACAGGGTCCTGAGCACAGCAGCTACAGAGCGTAAATGAGCTGGAGTCTTGGTTATCATAGCTGCCAGGCGCGTCTGAGGTGAGGGCTTGACCGTGGGGCTTGACTGAGAGGTTTTGGATGAAGTGCACACTGTGCAGGTCTGAGCTTGGCTTCTGATCATTGGTCGCATCTGCAGCGAGGTCTTTGTCACTGTGAACCCGGGGCCAGTTTGCAGTGGGACCTTAGTGACAGGAGCTCCATATCGTGGTAAGGCCTTAACTGTAGAGGCCACAGCAGACCCTGGGGGCTGCACCCTGGCCCCGGAGACCATGCAACGCACCTGCTTCTGTGGTGCGGTGTAACAGAGTGGAGAACTGGGTCGCACGGGAGCCGGGGGCCTGATCATCATGGGGCTAGCTGCTGCTTGCATCTTCATGACTGTCGCTGGAGATGTGGGGCGTGTCTGTGGAGCACTCATCGGTGCTGTGGACATAGTGGCTGAAGATTTAAGGGCAGCAGCAGCCACTGGACACACTTTGACAGGGGTCTTGTTGACTGGATATAAATGTAGTGGGGCCTTGGGGACATCTGTTTCTGTGTGGGCCTGGGTCTGGGTCTTCAGGGATCCATGAATGGCCTGGCCATAGCTCTCTGTTGCTGCTGACTCTAGGGTCCCCACGTTGATGGTCTTGGAAGCCACATGCCTGATCTTCACACTGTCCCCCTCCAAGTGTCTCATGAGACAAGAACTCCGAAAAGTCTTAGTCAACATGCAGGGTTGGTACTTGGGACCTGTGCATCTGTCAATCACAGACTGTGGCTGTAGGCCACCTCTGGGGACTCTGCTGGTACAGAGACCTGCTGTGGCTTGTGAGGGGACCAGGTTGTCAAAGGACGGGAACTGAGTCTCTTTAGTCACCATGACTGGTGGCTGGTCCTCTGGGGCATGGAAGCGCACCTGCTGTGGCTGGTGGTAGGGGATGTCACCTTCCTCCTCCCTCTTAACTTTCTTAGCAGTCAGCCTGTTGGAGTGCATCAGCCGGCGTGTGCTGAAGCGTCGCCAGGCCTCCTGGATGGCCTTGGCGGCTGTCATCTGGGAGATGAGTTTCTGCCGCAGCCGGTAGCCCTTCCAGTTGGCTTGGATGACAGTGGCTGCCCGTGAGACCATCATGTCCATCTCGTCCACCAGGATGTTCTTGAAGGCCTGGCTCTCCACCACGGCCCGCAGGCGAGGCACTTCCCGTGATGGTAACACTACTAGCTCCTTGGACGGATAGGAGTCAGTCTGGATCTGAGGACATAGCTTGGCCACTTTCTCTTGGTGAATGGGGGTTGGCTGAGGGAGGCATGGCCCGCTCGGTGACATGAGGTTCTGGAACTGGAGCTGAGCTGCCGGCTGCATTGCTGCCATTCCTGAGCTGGGCAGAAAAGTCTGGGGGGAGGGGGGTGAAGGATGAGGTTTGGTAGGTAGGGGGGATGGACAGATGGAGGTTTGCGTGGAGAGGGTGGTGATGGGTAAGGACATGGTGGGTGTGTAGATGGTTGGATGTACGTAGGGGGTGGGAGAAGGGTTGGCGAGGTGTCGAGTGGTGGTGAGTGGGTGAGTTTTGGTGGGTGAGTACCAGGTGCATGGCGGTGTGTGTCACTGTGAAGGGATGTGTTACTGTGTGTTGAAGGCTGAAGAGCGCACAATCCAGAGATACCTATGGGTTTCTGCAGGACAGCAGGTGCAGAGAGCAGGGACACCACCACCCAGGAGCCCTCAGACCTATAACCAGGGCATAACGTATATGCGTGGCAGAGACACTCCACAAGGCAGTCCCAGCCAAGCCCTGGCCCAGCAACCTCCTTACCTTGGAAAGTCATAGAGTTGGAAAAGGAGCAGAAGAAGGTGTAATCTTGAAAGCCAGCCTGTAAGGGGAGGCTGTCCTCAGTTCTTCATTCCAAGAAGTGTACACAGCAGCGCTCTGGGCTGGTTCTGTTAGAAATACCAACAGCAGTGAGTGAGGCTGTGGACTAGGCCAGGGGAGGGCAGAGCTGGGAGGAAGAACACAGGGAGGATGAAGCAGGGAGGACTGTGGGGGTCAGGGCAGGGGGGAGGACTGTGGGTGGCAGAACATAGGACACTCCACAGGAAGGGCCTGGGAAGACGTCAGCGTTGCTTAACAGTTAGCAGCTGGACTTCATGTGTACATAACTGGGACTAAGAGGGTCCCAAGGACACATGGGATTGGAGAGCAGAGGATGTCTATGTCTTTATTGACTAGAAGTGAGAGACCCCGAAGGCACACATCCAGGACACACCCACTTAGCACGCTATCCAGCAAGACGTAGGGAGCTGCAAGATGGCTCAGTGTGAGGAGTGACTGGGGCCAAGGCTGAAGGCACAAGTTCTCCCCGGAACCCAGCCAATGGGAGCAGAGAACTGACTGCTGTCATTACCTTCTGCCTCTGCACAGACGCCTAGTGCATGCACCCTCCACACACAAGCTAATACGTGTCAACTAAAAAAAGTTAGGCCAGGGCTACAGTGGCTCCACAGTTAACAACACTTGAAGCTCTTGCAGAGGACCCCGGTTCGGTTCCCAGCAGCCACACAATTCACAACAGTCCCTAACTCCAGTCTCAGCAGATCTGACACCCTTTCTGGCCTCAACAGGCATGCCCGTGGTGCACAGACACGCATGCAGGTAAAGCACCCATACATATAACAATTTTTAAAAAGAGAAAACAAAACAACATCAAAATCTAGACCAGACCTGGTAGCACCCACTTAACCCCAGCACTCAGGAGACAGAGGCTCTGTGAGTTCAAGGCCAGCCTGGTCTACAGAATGAAACCCTGTCTACATAGATAAATGATATCAGACAAATGATCCTAACTTAATTTTACTACCAGATACACACTTTAAACACAAAGATCTGGTTGTGTTGGACATAGATGAGTAGAGACAAGAATTGTAGGCAAAGGGCTACCGTGGCTACGCTTCAGTCTGAGGGACTTATGCCTCATATCCACAGAAGACACACTCAGCCAAGGTAACAATAAACACATCTGAACCTAATAACACAACTACCAAACACAAGGCAAAAACTGGCAGCACTAAAGAGACAGACCAACCCACAATCAGAATTGGACTGGTTTAATTCTTTTTTTTTCCCCCTTAGACAGCATGTCTCTATGTAGACCAGGCTGGCCTGGAACTCACAAAGATCGCCTGCCTCTGTCTGCCTAGCACTGGGATTAAAGGTGTGAGCCACCATGTCTGGCTATATTTTTTTAAAAGTATTGCTTTATGTGCGTATCTGTACATGTACATGTGTGTGATGTATGCCGCAGTTACAGGCGTGTGCAATCTCTCAGGTTGTTTTGTGGGTGCTGGGATCCGAGCTGGTCTTTATGATGGCAGAGCAATTGCACATGGCGTCTGAGCTGCCTACATCCTGTCCCCCTGCCTTGGTTGTTGCTTTAGCTTTTACAATTCATCTCACATATGTGAGTATTTTCCCTGTGTGTATACGTCTGCACACTGGGTGTGTTGCAGTGCCTGTGGGAACCAGAAGAGTTGGTTGTGAGCCACCCATGTGGGTGCTGGGAATTGAACCTCTGGAAATAGTCAGTGCTCTTAATCCCCAATCTCCAGCTCGTTTTATCATTTGATCTCATTAAACATTATTTTTAGTGTTATTTATACATCTCTACTGGCTTGTTTTATGTCAGCTTGATATCAGAGAGTAGGGAACCTCAGTTGAGAAAATGCCTCCATATGATTGGGCTGTAAGCCAAGTGGTGGAGGCTAGCCTGGTCTACAGAATTAGTTCCAGGACAGTTAGGGCTATGCACAGAGACCCTGTCTCAAAAAAAAGAAAGAAAGAAAGAAAGAAAGAAAGAAAGAAAGAAAGAAAGAAAGAAAGAAAGAAAGAAAGAAAGGGAAGGCCAAGCAAGCCATGGGGAGCCATAAGCAGCGTTCTCCATGGCTCCTGCATCAGCTCCTGCCTCCAAGTTCCGACCTGACATTCATCGATTGGTGTGGGAGCGTAAGCCCCACAGACCCTTCTCTTTCCTGTTGCTTTCACATGAAATTCATCGCAGCACAGAGACATTGACAAGGACACTGCTGTGTGCATGCAGGTGTCCCTGAGGAACTGAAGAGCTCCTGGAGCCGTGGTGACAGGATGCTGGGAGCCTGTGGATGCTGGGAGCCATTCAGGTGCCCTGAGGGAACAGCCCTGAGCCTTTGCCCAAGTCCCACGGGCACCACCATGCCAGCTGTACAGGGGGCTTTAAAAGCCTCTGGTGATTCTTAAAGCAAACAGGCGGAGTTTGGTAGCTGCTCAGAACTACAGGACCCTGTTGGCCACACCAGGCTGCGAACACAGAAATGGTGTGTGTGGAGGCAGCAGATCTCTGTGAGTCTGAGGCTACACAGCAACTTCCAAGACAGCCAGGGACCCAAGCCAGACACTGAGACCCTGTCTTCAACAACAACAACAAACCCCCTGTTTATAAGACAGTGATGCGGAGATAAAGCCAGTGTCCCAGCCGGGCGGTGGTGGCGCACGCCTTTAATCCCAGCACTTGGGAGGCAGAGGCAGGCGGATTTCTGAGTTCGAGGCCAGCCTGGTCTACAGAGTGAGTTCCAGGACAGCCAGGGCTACACAGAGAAACCCTGTCTCGAAAAACCAAAAAAAAAAAAAAAAAAAAAAAAAAGCCAGTGTCCCAGGGACAGGCTCCTCACTCTGTCCTGATAAATCATGAGTCACTGGCCAGTGAGACCCTGTCTCAAAAAACAATACAGCGCCAGGCATGTGGTGAGGAGGCAGAGGCAGGTGGATTTCTGTGAATTCCAGGCCAACCTGGTCTACATAGTGGCACCCTGTCTAATGAAAAAAAAGAGAAATCGCAGGGCAGTGGTGGTGCACGCCTTTAATCCCAGTACTTGGGAGGCAGAGGCAGGCAGATTTCTGAGTTCGAGGCCAGCCTGGTCTACAGAGTGAGTTCCAGGACAGCCAGGGCTATACAGAGAAACCCTATCTCGAAAAACCAAAAATAAAAAAAAAGAGAGAAATTGAGTCCCAGAAGTGCAGTTACCTGTCCACGGTCACTACAGGGTCCACAGCAGAACCTGGCTCACTGACTCCAGTCAACAAGGGTGACCACCAGCCCTCTCCTTCAGGATAGGTCCCAGGGGTGTCCTCAGTCCTGGAGCTGTCACCGTGTCCCCCAGGCCCTCAAGACACCCCTGGCTTCAACACTGAGCCAGCACGGGGTCAGCAACTGAGCCCCCATTCTGTGACCTCTACAACCCAAACTCTTTATCCAAATTGCAGAACATTCATATATACAGGGACGCCTGTGAGACAAAACCCCAGACACTGGGAGGAGCTGTCAGCAGGCTCACAATCAGTGATTGTCACACCAGGAGATGCCCATGTCACAGGGAAAGTGGGGAGCAGAAGCTGACATGTGGGCAGAGCTGGAGCGCACGTTGGAGGGCCTTGACAAGTGTGTGAAGGGTTTTGAGTTCCATCTCTAGCACCCCATAAAATCAGGCAAGTTGGTATCTGAAGCAGGAGGGTGGTTATGAGTTTCAGGACAGCTTGGGCTACAAAGCTGGATGTAGTGGTGTGAACACCTGTCATCCCAGCACACAGGAAGTGGAAGCAGAAAGAACAGAAATTCATGGTCATCCCCACCTACATAGTGAGTTCAAGCCTAGCCTGGCTACATGAGGCCCTATTTAAAAAAAGAAAAGAAGAGAAAAGTAAAGAAAAGCCACCAGGTGTTGCAGGGCTTGCTGAGAGTGAAGATGGGAAGAAACAGGGCTGTGGGGTGGGAAATGGAGAGGAACCAGCACAGTTGTATCGGGATGGTTGTGAGTGCATCTCTGAGACCCTGTGTTCCCTCTTAGTCATGAAGAGCAAGCTCACCCTATCTTGGAGCTGGAAAAGGAAAACAGGCTCACAGGGTTGGTGCCCAAGGGACAGTACCATCAAGGCTTGGGGGACCCCAAATACTATCTCTAAGGGCCTAGCTACCTACCGCAGCACAGAGGACGCAGACATTCTTGGCAAGAGCTTGGTGACAGAGTGTGGTACCCCCACCAACCCACTCACCTATCCCCAGAGCTGAAGCCACCAGCCCTCAGAGCCAGCCTTGGGACCGGGGTGCCCAAATGTCTTTATGACTCCAACTGAGTTCTGACCAATCCCCAGCAGTGTGGAGGGAGAGGGTTCTAGAACTTGGAACTGGGGCCCCTGACAGGACAAGAGGATCTGAGCTGTCCTAATGGTCCAACATGGAAGGAAAATTAGGGCTCTGAGCATAAAGATGGCCCTCCCACCTCTCCCCTTGTTGTGTCTGGAGGGAGGTCTGTCACCACCTGGGGTAGCTGCTGAGCCT